GGAGATAAGGTGGGAGTAGATTCGTTTATGAATTAATTTTTCGAAGATTTTTGAGAGAGGGTGTAAGTTGGATATTGGCCTATAGTTATTCAACTCTGTTTGGTCTCCTCCTTTGTGGATCGGGGTGACCCTTGCTATTTTGAGTACTGTAGGGAAGGTGGAGGATTCAATGGATTTGTTAAAGAGTGTTGCAATGATTGGTGATATCACTTGTGCCCATTTTTTTGTATATAAAGGGTGGTAAGGTATTTTAAATCTCCTGCCTTGTTTTTTAGTGCGTTGATAATAAGGGAGACTTCGTATGGGTTAGTCGGAGCTAGGAACAGTGTGTTCGGGTAGTTGCCGGTGAGGTAGTCATTTGGTGGGTATCTGAGCTTGGGATTTTATTGGCAAGGTTTTGTCCTATAGTGGAGAAGAAATCATTGAGTCTGTTTGCTGTTTCTGTTGGTGGGAGTTGGGGTTCATCTGATTTTGCTAATTTTATTTCGCTATTTCGTGATATCTTTTTTGTTCCCAGAATTTCTGATAGGGTTTTCCAGGTCTTTTTTATATCACCTCGTAAGTTGGATAATCTGTTCTCATAATACAATTTTTTTGCCCTTCTTATCAGGCTGGTTAGGATTGACGAGTAACGTTTTGTTTGGTCTCTGGTTATGTGACCCATTCTGTACTGTTTTTCATATTGGTGTTTTGTATTTATGGATTTGAGAATGCTGGGTGTTAGCCAGGGACTGTTCAGTCTCTTAGCTGTCATCTGCTTAGTTTTTTTTAGGGCAGTGCTTGTTATAGAGGTATTGAGTCTTTTTTAGAAAATTATTAATACATTCGTCAATATCTGTATTGATTTCTAGCTCAGTGTGCCAGTCAATGTTTGCTACTGCTGTTGTGAAAGTTATTAATGGCTGCCTCATTGTGAAGTCTGAAGGTGACTTTAGTAGTGTCTTGGGGTAATTTACCAAGAGTTGTTATGAGGAAAGTAGGGGAGTGGTCTGTGGTATTATCTGTAATTATGCCTGATTTTAAAGGGGGTATGGTGTTGGTCCAGATGTGGTCAAGTAGGGAAACACTAGTCTCTGTAACTCTTGTAGGTTTTGTTACTGTTGGTAGCAACATACAGTTACTCATTGTGTTTGTGAATTCAGTAACGTGTGGGTCCTGGTCTTGCAGGAGATTTATATTGAAGTCACCTGAGAGTAGTAAGTGATCTTTGTTCATGCGTGCATCAGTTATCATACTTCCTAGGTTTTGACTAAATTGGCTAATGTTTGACTGTGGAACTCTGTAGATGTTTATCAATGTGAGAGGTTTTTGTAGGTATTTGGATTTGAATTTGGGGTATTATATATTCCCCATGTTCATCTCTTGTGCAAGTATTAGTGATACATTCTAGTTGGTCTGAGTAGTATATGGCTGTGCCACCCCCTTGTTGGTCTGGCCTACAGTTGTGTATGGCTGTGTAACCAGGAATGGCATAGACATCTGTACTATCAGGCTTTAGCCAGGTTTCAGTTAGTGTAATGATGGACAATTTGGCATGTAAGGAATTTAGTAATGCTATGAGGTCATCGTAATGCTTGCTTAAAGATCTGATATTGTAGTTAAAGATAGTTATGTTGTTGTTGGCACTGAGAAGTGCCTTTGATTGTTCTGCAGTGTAGTAATTACAGTAACTGTTTGATTCATTTAAGTCATTAAATAAGAGGTTGGTATCTGGATCAATGCTTGTAATCATAAGATTTGTAGTGAATCTATAGTTAGAATTAAGTATAAAACAAAGTAAATAGTCTTAAGCTAAAAAGTAGCACCTGAATTATTTAACAAATGTAAAATAATGAGCTAAGGTAGTTTTTTTTTTTTATAAGCTAAAATAAAGGAGACAATATAAAAGGGACTAGTACAAATAAAGTGATGATCAAATAATGGAGCTTGGGAATATGATAGTAGGTAGTACTATAAATAAATGAGCTTTGGGGAATATAATGGCAAAATTGTGAACTTGTTCTACTTTAGCACCTGAGAATAGCACCTTGATTATTTTAACAATTGTGAATGTATAAGCTAGGGTAGTTATATAAAGCTAAAATAAAGGAGAAAATATATAAGGGACTAAAATTAAGTAATGGTAAACAAAGTTAAATGGACAGATGGTCACTATGAAATAATATTGGTTTAGGAGTAAGATCTGATTTGTAATATTAGATAAATTGAGCAGTTTATTGCACAATAAAAGTAAAAAAAAAATGAGGTAGTTGGTAACTGTATTTGTGTATACCTGAATAAACTTACGTGTACTTGTAGCAATAAAGATATTATTATTATTATTATTATTATTATTATTATTATTATTATTATTATTATTATTATATTTCTATTGTGGAGACATTTAAATATAGAGTTACCTAACTGCTGCACACGTGTCTTACTGTCATACAAATTGTAAGACAAAATATGAAAATAATAAGAATTTTTCAACATATTTCATATATAATGTCAAAGCCAGTCATGTCAAAGCCAGTCATGTCAAAGCCAGTCATGTCAAAGCCAGTCATGTCAAAGCCAGTCATGTCAAAGCCAGTCATGTCAAAGCCAGTCATGTCAAAGCCAGTCATGTCAAAGCCAGTCATGTCAAAGCCAGTCATGTCAAAGCCAGTCATGTCAAAGCCAGTCATAGCATGAGCCAGTTCAAGAAGAGTGCCAAAAGGTGTCTGATGAATGTAGCTACATTATTATTATTATAATCAAGGGGGAAGCGCTAAACCCGGAGGATTATACAGCGCCTGGGGGGGGATGTGGAAGGCATTCAGGCTTAATTCCGGGAACTGGAGCACAGATCCAATTCCCTAAATCAAGAGCCCCTCACCAACATCAAGGAACCTTCCTTGAGGGGAAATGTAGCTACAGAAAGGGAGGGGAATGATTTTCTATTTTTTAGCTAACATCGTGTAAATTTTACCTTACTCCTAGTAATGACCCTCGTATTGTAGATAGTCTTAATGACCCTCGTGTAGTAGATAGTCTTTTTAGTATGATAATAAGATGTTATCTTCATTATAGAATAATAAGAAAATATTATAACTTTTATATTATAATAATAAGGTAAAAGGACCCCAATGGAAATAAGTCACTCTGTCTGGCTTTTTTGGGTTATCCCAGGTTCTCTACCAAGTGTCTAGAGGTAAATACACACAGATCTAAATGGATTGTGAAAACGTGCAATTGCATTAAGTTTTATAACCTGCATGAACTGTATCACTGTAGACAACAAGAGCATTTCACCCCTCCATGGAAGATGTGTTCATTTAATATCACATACCTACAAGTCCCTCCCAAGAAGCTCATTGCTAGTAATCCCTTCCTTAAATCTCTTGTTAGAGCAACTGCTCAAGAAGAAATTTCTCACCTAGCTGGTAGTAATAAGTTATCACAAGTTATATACACTGATGGATCTAAACAGGAGTCTTCTGGCAGGGCTGCATCTGCTCTTGTTGCCACCTCCCTAGTTAAGAACGATAATAAATTTGTTGAGTTAGGCATAAGAATTAACAACTGGGCGCCTACACTGCAAACTGAATTGTTTGCAATCCTAATGGCGCTAAAGCTAACCTATGACACTGAGCTTGACTCTATCATCATTACTGATTCTATGTCATCATTGAAGGCTCTTGGCTCATATAATGACTCCAACAACATGCTCATTGGGGAAGCCAGGTATAGATACTCAAAAATTAGGGACAAAGGAATTAATGTACAATTGCTATGGATCCCATCACACATTGGATTACTCCTTCATGATAAAGTTGATATGTTAGCCAAGAAGAGTACCCAGAAGGAGAATGTAGAATATAACTTTGGTATAACTGTGTCTAGCATTAGGAATAATATTTGGAGAGAAGTAAATAATGAAAATGATTGTTATAGGAATGCAGTTAGAAGCCTGAGTAGATCTATAACCCACTATGATAACATGAACGTAGATAAGTATGTTTATGGAGCAACTTGCAATGTGAACAGACTGACTGATGTTGTAGTGGCCAGGCTTAGGTTTGGTTATAAGTACTTCTGGCAGTTTGGGAGACACACAGATGATGATCAAACTAAATGTAAATTATGTGATCAGGCATATGGTCATTCTCTTGAACACTATGTGCTTAATTGTCCACTTATTGAGGAATACAGAGACAGACAGTATAATAACCTATGTGACATGTCAAGATATCTTATTAATGAAAATAAGATACCAGATATACTAAGCAAATTTCCTAAATTTGCTTGTAACAGATAAGTGAACTATAGATATGTAGATATAAATCCATATGTATTCCTGTTAACCCTTTGGGGCCTAGTTCCTAGGCCTTTTGTGTATCCACATGCTCTCGCGCTACCGTCCACAGGATGGATATGGGGTGCACAATAAACTAGCCACTTCGGTGGCAAAATCTAAAAATCTCTACACATATGTTGCTATGTATGATAATCTATGTAGCTGTATGTGTGTATACCTGAATAAACTTACTTACTTACTTAACAGAATGAAATGAATATTGATGCGCATGGTGCTTGTCATTTCAATTATGGAACTCTGGGAAATCAGCAGACCAGTCGTCTGCAGCACAACATTGCGTCCGATTGTATTAAATGAGTATTTAATATTGCTTTGTCTTACATATTTGGTGTATTTATAGTTAACAACATAAGTAACATAATAACTTATCTAATTTAAGATACCATCGTTTTAATAACATGTACAAAATAACAAGATTTAGTTAAAAAATTATTGGCCTTACATTTCATGTTAATAGTTCCGAACATAGCCTTACGGTTGACAGATCCTATGACCAACCTTTCAGACATAAAGCATATTACTAAAACAATATTTAATTATTACTACATCTTCTTCTATTAGTATAATTTTTTTTTATTTTATTAAAGTAATATACTGGTCGTTAAATATATGCAAATCAGCAAGGACTACTTATTGTTTTAGACTTGGGAAGCTGTGGGAGGGTTGGCAGATGTGAGGAGGAGTATCTCGTGACTTCAGAAGCTTACTGGCGTCAGGGACGGTCGCTGCAGCAGGAAAAATGTCTCAAAATTCCACCGGAAAGATGTCTCACAACACAGTGGCGATGTCAACACTTCCTGAGGACATAGATAGAGGTAGGATGTAGTGATTGATTCACGTTAAGGTGTTTTTGTTACAGAATTTGAAGGTACCTGTTCTTTAGTTTGTCGATCACTCATTTACTGAACTCTCAAAGGACATAAGAAAAGAGAAACACTGCAGCAAGTGTACTGGCCCATTCCTAGCAAGCTCTTCTCAAACCCAAACCCTCTAACAGTAATATTCACCCAACTCATTCTTAGTGCTACCCAAGGAATAGGCTTTTATAACCCTATTAACTCGTGTGCAAACCCCTTTTAAAATCATCCCTCTCATCTTATGTAGTCATCTAAGCTATATTTGAAGCTACCAAAGGTAGCCTTAGTGACCCTGCTAGGTAGACTGTTCCACTCATCAACTACATTTCCAAACCTGTACTTTCCTATATCCTTGCTAAATCTAAAGTTGTCTGATTTGAATCTATTATTTCGAGTTCTTTCTTGAAGGGATATTCTCAGAACCTTAGGTATTATTATGTATAACTTGTTACACTACGTTTTCCAAGTGAGGTTGTCTTTAGTAGAGCTCTACTAAGATGGTGAGCGGGGTAACACTAACTAGTGAGTGTTATGACACAACACACAGCCAGTCTTGATTTTAGATGACTGGGCTTCATTAAGTTAAATAGAATTGGTTGGCAAACAGGTATGGTGATGGGTAAGATACATAGGCAACAGTTACGCAACTTTATTCCGAAACGTTTCGCCTACACAGTAGGCCTCTTCATTCGAATACTTCCTGTATTCGACTGAAGAAGCCTACTGTGTAGGCGAAACGTTTCGGAATAAAGTTGCCTAACTGTTGCTTATGTATCTTACCTACCAACCTGTTGGTATTGTATACCATTTTGATATTCAGGTATGGTGATACTGACAAAATGTGGAGAAAAATCACTTGTCCACAATCCCAATAGTATTGGCAGAACTGTTTTGATCCAGATATATTTGTTAGAGTTCAATTCTGAAGAAAACGTCTAAAGTACTGTATAGTTGTTTTTTAATTTTGTTTCTTATACCTTGTACGAAGATGGTGGGTAGATGACACCTTCACTAATGATTCTTAAACATTCAGTAATTTAGCTTCCTGATTCTTATTGAATTTAAGGGCTCAATTTTCTTTATTATGTAAATTTTCTAGTAGGAAGTGAATTAGGCAGTGGAGACTATATTCTTTGGGTCTGAGGGGAGAAATCAGAAAGCTCTGCCTTTTTTTTTTTTTTTGTAACCCAACCTAATCTAACCTAGAAATTACCCCTAAATCTAGGTTAGGCTATCATTTTTTTCTGCCATCCTAATGAAAGATAACTGTCTTCATTACATAATCCACTTGATATTTTTTAACTTGCATAATAAGTTATTGCAAAGCTCAAACTCAAGCCTCAAAACTTAAAGATTTGTTGGAATTTTTAACCCTGAAGGCTAGCCACTAAGGATGACTCAGGAATGTCAGTGCATTATCCAGGACTGTCTCTTATTTGCATTGGGTTCCTTTAATCTTGTACACCCAGGATGCGACCCACACTAGTAGACTAACATCCAAGCACATACCTACTTACTGCTAGGTTAAGAGAGAAACATGCCCAACGCTTCCACCCACGTAGAGGACTCAACCACGGTCACTTAGTGTGAAAGGCAAGTGCATTACTAATTAAGTAGTAAGCAACTTCTTTCCCAAATTGTGAATTAGTAAAAAAAAATCTATTTTGTTAAACTGTTCTTTAGAATGACCATTTTTAAAGATGCATATAATTAGTAAGTGTAAAAGGTCAAGTATGTTTTTATTTAAGTAATTATTACAAAACATACATAAACACAGTTTACAATGGTCATGATATTAGCACTCGTATGTCTATGTATTGCATACATTATTTAGGTTTAAGCTAGGGTAACTCAGTCAAGAAAAATTATGTGACTTCTTTTTTTAATTTTTCTTCTACTTCTTCCTCTTCCCATTGGGTTCTCTGTTTATACTATTTGATACAAAGAAAAAAGCTTTTCTAGTAATAATGAGAATTGAAGGAAGGATGGAACAAGAACAGGGACAATATTTAATGAAAGACAGTTTTAGGCTTTGTTTGTCATAATAAATTGTCAGGATCACATTAACAGAAGATGTTTTTTAACAGTAGGTTTGAAGTGGTTGGCTGACAGGGAGACTCTGGAATCTTCAGGCAAAGAGTTCTAGATTTTAGGTCCTTTTATGCACGTTGTGTTTTTCACATGCTGAGTCGGACATGTTATGCCATTTCTGCCATGTTATGGCAGAAATGACATGTATGCCAGGGATGGGGTTCACTTATCTAGGTCTGGGGTGGGGGCACTGGCAACTGCAGTGGAGGGAGCTGTTAGGACTTTAAACTAGGAATAGTTAGTGGTATGGGTTTTGGTGGGAAAACAGTGAAGTCCCAGTGTAGTAATATTATGAGCTCTAGGGGAACTAGTAATAGGCAGAATGAGGTGGATATTGGAAAACCAGTGGCACTAGGTGACAAGGACAGTAATAGGTTTAGTTGAAAAACAGAAATGAGCAGGAAGGGTAAAGAAAAAGGAGAGTCTTTAAATATACATTATGCTAATACCCATCTACCTGGAGGGCATTCCGGGGATCAACGCCTCCGCGGCCCGGTCCACAACCAGGCCTCCCATAGTGCTAGGAATAAGATGGACGAGTTGAGACTAGTTGCTAGTGCAGGTAACATTGATGTATTTGCCGTAACTGAGATGTGGTTTAATTCAAAAAGTCGGGACATGCCTGCAGAATGTCACATTCAGGGTTTTAAATTGTTCCAAGTAAATATAGGTATCGCTGTATGTCTGGGATCGCTTGAACTGTTGCACAAAAGTAACACATACAGAGTCTGTTAGGATAGAATTTTCAGAGGGGCATGAAAAATTGATTTTAGGTGTGATATACTGTCCCCCAAACTTAGATAGGGACTAAGAGAGACTACTATGGGAGGAAATTGTTAAGGCCACAAGGCACGATAATGTAGTAATTCTAGGCGACTTTAACTTTAGTCATATTGATTGGAATTTCTTGACTGGGAATTTAGAATGAAACGACTTCTTAGAAGTAGTTCAGGATTGTTTTTTGAAGCAGTTTGTGACAGAGCCTACAAAGGGAAATAACCTGCTTGACTTGGTTTTGGCAAATGAGGAAACTAAAAATTTAGAAATTACAGAGGAACTTGGCACAAGCAATCACAAATCAGTTACCTTTAGCATTGAATGGAAGTATGATAGTAGGGATAATTCAGTAATGGTCCCAGATTTTTGCTTAGCAGATTACAGTGGGCTTAGAGAACACTTATCATCTGTGGACTGGGGTAACGAAGAGAGCTATCAGTATGACAGCTTTCTTAACACAATACATGCTGCCCAAAGGACATGTATCCCATATAAGGAAATTAGATCGAATAGAAATGACCTAAAATGGATGAATAATAGGCTCAAATGTCTTTTAGGACAGAAAAAAGGCACATCAAAAGAGGTGAGGGTCATCTTATGAATCAGTATATTGACATTAACCCTTTCAGGGTCCAGAGGCCAAATTTCAAAGTGTGCACCAGGGTCCAAGAATTTTCAAAAAATAATTTTGTTATTTTTTCTTATGAAATGCCATAGAATCTTTTTCTGAAGGTTAATAAAACAAGAAGTACGAAATTTGATGGAAAATTGACGAAATTATGCTCGTGAATTTTGATGTGTCGGCGATATTTACGCATCGGCGATTTTGCTGACTTTGACTCCCATTTTAGGGCAATTACATTATTCCAGTCAACCAAATTCTTAGCTATTTCACTAGTATTACTTCTGTTCTATCAATTGAGCACAAGAAATTGCCAAATCAACTGTTTCAACAACAAAGTAAAGTGACCGGAAATTTAAATATTTAAATTTCAAAATAGGGTCCAGATTAAACAATGCAGGCATTCCTGGCACTAAACTAACATTTCCTTTGTTCATTAGTTATGTTTTCAGGCTTTACAAATTAATTCCATTTTGATTTTTTATTCACATAATGAATTTTTATTCAAACCAAAAAATAGAAGATTTACTGTTATGCAATACTGTAATAATTGTATAAATAATATCACCACATTTGTGAATGTATATTAGACCCGCCAGCTGTCATGTATTAAACTTGTCAGGTCATTTGTTTACTCTTGAACATCGGCAAAAATTTAACATTTCCGCTACTTTGAGTTCAGTTTCAAGCCATTTCCAATACTTAAACCAATCAAAATCATCTCTATTTCTGTAGTATATCTTCCATTCTATCAAATGAGACCAAGAAATTGCAAATACAACTATAAAAAATATATGAAAAAACACTGCGAAGTCGCTGTTTTAATAAAAAATTACGGTCTCGTTTTTTTTCTCTCATTATGCACTGTGTGCTGCAGGAGTTGTTTTATGTGGTGTGCACATACCACATAGATGTATTCTCTCATATCTAGGCCCAAATTTACTGCTCACAGCTTATCAGAGTGAGCTGAGCTCATGGCGTAGATCTACGGTTTGGACCCTGAAAGGGTTAAGAGGGACGTTAAAAAGGGGATAAGAAAAGCTAAACGGGACTATGAAATTTAAGTTGCTAGAGATTCAAAAACTAACCCAGAAAGTTTTTTCCAGGTTTATAGAACAAAAGTTAGAGATAAGAATGGTTTTGAAAACCGACAAGTTGAAGAGTGAGACACTTATGCAACATATGGGAATCTTTATTGAGGAAACGTTTCTCCACACAGTGGCTTCATTGGTCCAATTCAGTCCTTACACCTTTCTGCTTTGTGTTGGACTGATGAAGCCACTGTGTGGTGAAATGTTTCCTAAATAAAGATTCCCATATGTTGCATGAGTGTCTCAATCTTCAACTTGTCGGTTTTCAAAACCATTCATCACAACTGTCAGACACTGCATCATCATGGGATCTTGATACAAAGAATTCTTCAAACTTGTCTAACCTTTGGATGAAGACCTACTTCGACTAGTGGATG